ACTTTATTTGGAATAAGTGCTTAGTAAATATACTTTAAATGAATGAACTTCTTATTCATCTTTATATCTTCCCAGTTTTTATGTGGTGCCTTGAATACTATAGAAACAAAAGTTTATTGAATGAATGATTAAATTAGTGAGCAGTCACTTTTTCATATGATCAGTTATAATGCTAGATATCTTGAAACAGATAAACAACTCTGATTGAAGTAATATATTGAAGCATCTCAGTGGCCCTACAATTATAACTCTTCTTCTCAGGCTACATCTTCAGTTGGCTTGGGCTAGCCCCAGCCCTACAGCCTATGCATACTATAACTTTATAAAAGAATGAACAAAGAAGAAATTAACTAGCAAAACAGCAATGGAAAGGTGAATAAAAAATTTGTCTTATTTCAAAGCCTGATTTCTCTTTTATATTTATGGAGAGGAATCAATCATGGCATAACACAAAATGTGGTTATTTATGGTTCCAAAAATCTCCAACAGGATGGAGTTTGCCAAACTGCTCCCCACAATTCACATTATGTTTCTCTTACTAAAATATAAATAAGTTAAAACAAGATTGGGAGTCCTTGGAGTAGGCTGAGATGACTCCATCCTGTGTGCTCCTATGGATGAATCAGAGGACAGCACCTCACATATGGCATTGCATGTAATAGGGAGTCAACAAGTTGCTGCTGCATTGTTGGGGCAAAGGATTTGCAGTTAGATTCAGAGTCTTATCACAGATCATCTATCATTTCCTAAAGCAATCAAGTGATTGTTTAAATCACAGCTCTACACCTGCTGTCATCCCTGAGTAGGCAACCTTTGCATCTTATGCCACAAGGAGAAACCCACCACTCTCCACCTGAGCATCTTTCTCTCTCTCCTGGTTTTTGAGATGTTTGCTCCTTTTCCTCCTTATCTACCTTCTGGCTCATTACTCTTCCCTCGATTAATCTTGTTTTTTGTTTTCTCTCATCCTCCTATATGTAAGACCTAATAATGATACTCATACTGTAGGCGTTGCTTAAATGAATTTTCTTGATCAGTGAAGCATACTCCTTTAAAGGCTAAAGTACGTATTAAAATTACATTAGCCATTTTGGCTGGAAATATTAGAAATGTGCCATTTTATTCCTTCACTTCTTAGCAGAGTATGCATCTTAACTTGAAACTTTCCTAACCACACATGACTTATCAATCTAAACATCCCCCAGACACTTTTGAGAAGTCTGGAGTTTTCCCTATACTAAACAGCCCCAGATCACTGAATATGACTACTTCAGTTTCAAATTAATGGTCAGTTCTGGACTTTCTCTCACTGCCAGTAAGAATTTTCAGTTTCATCATTGTTATTATATCTGATGCTTGTCTCTCCCCCTCCCACTTTCTAATTAGCTGTGGATGGGAAGCCAGATAGACAGACTTGTATGAATTCTGCACACAATAATGTTTTGCTGATTTATATTCATTGGTCTTTGATCAAGGGCCTAGGCCTTTCCTGTGAGTAAAGTTTATTGGATTGGTAACAGCTATTTCAAGAGCTCAGAGACCCTTTTCTACTAAATTCTTAGTTTACAGATAAGTGAAGAATGGAGTTTGAGCTTTGGAGAGGTCAACTACCACTGTTATTTTTATTCATAAAATTATTGTTTCCAGAATAGTTCACAGTCACAGTTTAGGCCACACTGCACTCATGGTAGTGTAGTGGGTTATGAGTTGGGCTGCTAATCTCAAGCAGTTCAAATCTACCAGCCACTCTGTGGGAGAAAAATGAGACTTTCTGCTCCCAAAAAGATTTGCCAGCCTTGGAAATCCTGTTGGAACCAACTCTACAGCACACAACCACCACCACCATCACACCCATACAATCTATTATCACTCTGCCTTTAAACTGCTGATAAAAAGAGAGACAGAAAAAGGCAAAATGCTGACTTTTGCCAGTTAGAAATCAGAATACTGCTGCTGCTTCCTCAAACATCCCTCTGTCCTCTCTCTTCACTTCTGTCTTTAACTTAGTACACTCATAACCATAACTGAAGTGACTCCCCACTAGTATTTCAAACTCATCAGGTCATGCTTTCTTTTCGAACATGATTCATTACTACACCAGTTTCTTCAAGTGGAGCCTTCTTGTTTCCTCAGTTTCCATTCTTATCCCAGGTAATTTCAAGATACTGGTTTGTATGGTTTATTTTTCCGTCTTATCATTCAAGATTGCCAAAATTCGAAGCCATGGCTGTTGTGTACATCTGTTTTCCAAACATCTCTCTTACCTCTCTCTACTCTAATCAATCCCAAATCCTACTTGTTCACTGCTGTGGCTCTTAATTTCCATTTCCATTGGTTAACTCTCAAAATATTGTCTTCCTTTCATCTTAATGCTATATATTCACCTTTGTTGTTGTTGTTATGTGCCATTGAGTCAGTTCCGACCCATAGCGACCCTGTACAAGGTTTCCAAGGCTGTAAATCTTTACGGGAGCAGAAAGCCTCATCTTTCTCCCATGGATCAACTGGTAGTTTCGAACTGCTGACCTTAAGGTTCGCAGCCCGATTCGTAACCACTATGCTACCATATTCACCTTTAGTTCTTTTTATAATATTTCTTACTAGCCACCTCTTCCTGTTCAATCTTTACATTACTGTTGTTGTTGTTATGTTAATATGTGCCATGGAGTCGGTTCTGACTCATAGTAACCCTGTACAGGGTTTCCGAGGCTATAAATCTTTATAGGAGCAGAAAGCATCATCTTTCTCCCATGAAACAGCTGGTAGTTTCAAACTGCTGACTTTGCAGTATGCAGTCCGATTCATTGCACTTTCCAATTTTACATCCACCACTCATTTGTCAGTTTGTCGTACTGTGGTGGCTTGTGTGTTGCTGTGATTCTGGCAGCTTTGCCATGGGTATTTTAAATATCAGCAAGGTCACCCATGGTAGATAAGTTTCAGATGAGCTTCCAGAAGAAGACAGACTAGGAAGAAGGAGAAACTAACTACTTCTGAAATCCTTATGAATAGCAGTGAAGCACTGTCAGATATAGTGCCGGAAAATGAGCCCCTCAGGTTGGAAGACACTCAAAATGCGACTGGGGAAGAGCTGCCTCCTCAAAGTAGAGTTAACCGTGATGATGCAAATGGAGTAAAGCCCTTGGGACCTTCATTTGATAATGGGGCACAACCCAAAATGAAGAGAAATAGCTGTAAATATCTATTAATAATCTGAATATGGAATTTACAAAGTATGAATCTAGGAAAATCAGAAATTGTCAAAAATGAAATGGTATGCACAAACATTGATATCCTAGGCATTAGTGAGCTGAAATGGACTGGTATTGGCCATTTTGAATATGACAATCATATGATTTACTATGCCAGGAATGACAAATCGGAGAGAAATGTCATTGCATTCTTCGTCAGAAAGAACATAGCAAAATATGCCATGAGGTGCAATGCTGTCTGTGATAGGTTCATATCTATGCATGTACAGGGAAGACCAGCTAATACCACAACTACTCAAATTTGCACACCAACCACTAAAGCCAATGAGGATGAAACTGAAGAATTCTACCAACTTCTTCAGTATGAAATTGAGTAAACATGCAATCAAGATGTATTGATAGTCACTGGCGATTGGAATGCAAAGGTTGGAAACAAAGAGGAAGGATCGGTTGTTGGAAAATATGGCCTTTGTGATAGAAATGATGCTGGAGACTGTATGAAAGAATTCTGCAAGACCAATGATTTGTTCATTTCAAATACCTTTTTTAAGCAGCATAAAAGATGAATATATACATGGACCTCACCAGATGGAATAAACAGAAATCAAATTGACTACATCTGTGGAAAGAGACAGTGGAAAAGCTACATATCATCAGCCAAAACAAGGCCTGGGGCAGATGGTGGAACAGATCATCAATTGCTCATAAGCAAATTCAGACTGAAGCTGAAGAAAATGGAAACAAGTCCATGAGAGAGCCAAGATATAACCTTGACTATATGCCACCTGAATTTAGAGATCATCTGAAGAAAAGATTTGATAAATTAAACATTAAAGACCAAAGACCAGAAAAGCTTACGCAACGACATCAAGAGCATCATACAGGAAGAAAGCAAAAAGGTCATTAAGAAGACTAGAAAGAAGGAAAAGATCAAAATGGATGTCAGAAGAGACAGTGAAACTTATCCACCATAATAGTCAGAATATATTTTCTTTCAACTCATTTGGGACACTTAGGCTGTATTCAGTTATTTGAATTGCTAGTCGTTGGGGGTATCAGGGATGGGTGGGAACAAAACACATTAATCAGAGAGATGCGGCAGACCAGCCTAAAGGAGCACCACTGTGGAAGCAGGGGTCACCTCAGGATCAGTTTCCTACATGCAGTCTTCCTAGAAACAAACATTAAGGTTACAACTGTATACTCAGAGAAAGCAATGAATCTAGTCAGCAAGATGCAGGAAAACTCCATGCTTGGTCAAGTCACTTTGGACCCTCTGTTGTTGGCTACCCAACCGAAACCCAGTAGAGGAACAATAGAGCACTGGGAAAACAATTGAGCCAAGAGATGGGAAATGCGGGTAGAGATGAGAATAATTTTGAGCTGACTATAGCAAATTATTTCCACACATAATTAGTGTGTACTGGAAGACAGGACTGGTACTTGACACACTCATTTCTGAACAAAACAAGATTAAAATAAAACAGATTGCTCGCCTCCTTATCCTGTGCTGTGATATAGTAAAGAACATAGATACAATTAGGTTGCAATCAAAATTGATACACAGATAACATTAATACTGACCAAAGATACAAAATAATCTTTTAAAAATTTTTATGATATGTGTGCAAAAAAGATATGTCCCTAATGATTTCTGAACTTCTTGTATAAAAACTGTTATATTACATCTGTATTTGAACATATCTCTAATACAACTAATACTGATATCTGCCCTAGGACTGCTCTCCACTAACAACAATGCAAATAGTTAGCAAAATAACCGTTTACCTTATAGAAGATCAAAAGTAGATCCTCCAGTTTTCCATGCAAATCACCTGGAGAACAAATGAACAATTAGTGTTCAGTAGGAAACAAAAAATGACAGAATTTTAAAACTGAAATACTGCTGATAGACTCCAAATGTTCTTGGTAGTGGTGGTGGTGGCGGCGGCAGTGGTGGTGGTTGTAGTGGTTGTGTGCAATCAAATTGGTTCTGACTCATAGCAAGCCTGTATAGGGTTTCTGAAGCTATAAATCTTCATGAGAGCAGAAAGCCTCATCTTTCTCCCGTGGAGCAGCTGGAAGATTTGAATTGCTCTTAAGGCACAGAATTTTTATACTATAATGCTATTAATAGACCATTTGGTTCCACAGAGTTCTTTCCTTCCCTTCTATAAGGAGAACATCTTGAATTGCAATTACCTGTTCCCTTTTGCCATTGATGTAAGACTTAGTGTGTATCTTGTGCCAGGTAGTAGACTAAGTGTTTACATAAATTGTCTTGTTCAATCCTTACAACCATCCTAGGAAATAGGTACTGTTTTCATCATTCACATTTTACAAATGAGACTTACCAAGACTGCAAGCTAGAATTCAAACCCAACTTTATCTCATTTAAAAACCCAGGCTCTCTGCTATACCTTATGGATACAGTAGCTCAAAATACCAACTGAGTAAAGAAAGGTAGACGTTTTGTAGCAAGGAGGGGAGTGATTAACTTTGCAGTCTAGGAGCAGAGGTCCCTGGGAGAGGAGCGGAGAGCGGGACCCTACCTAGACAAGCAGTGATGCCTGAGATGGAGGCAGAGACGATGACGTGGAAAGATGGAGCAACTGGGGACTTTAGACACAGAGAGGGAGAGGGGCTGTGTGCTGATGACCAGGGTGCAGGCTTATAGTGTATACCCTTTGGTTGGTTGTTGATGCATGGAGGGGATTGTAATCAGGGCAATGAAATGATATACAACAGGATGAATGTAAAGCTAATGTTCTCCCATGTAAACTATCACATAATTCACAATGTAACATTTAAAACAAAACAAAACAACTGAGAGGGAAGGAGTCAAGGATCAAGCATATCTCCTCGGTATACAGGGTTGATGTTGTTGTTAGGTGCCATCAAATCGGTACCAACTCATAGGGACCTTATGCACAGCAGAACGAAACACTGCCTGATCCTGGGCCAACCTCACTATTGTTGCCACGCTTGAACCCATTGATGCTTCCACTTTGCCAATCCATCTTGCTGGGGGTCTTCCTCTTTTTCTCTGACCCTCCACCTTACCTAACATGATATCCTTCTCCAACGACTGGTCCCTCCTGACAATATGTCCGATGTATGAGACACAAAGTCTGGCCATCCTGGCCTCCAAGGAGCACTCTGGCAGCACTTCTTCCAACAGAGATCTGTTGGTTCTTTTGGCAGCCCATGGCATTTTCAATATTCTCCTCCAACACCATAACTCAAAAGCATCAAGTCTTCTACGGTCTTATTCACTGTCCAGCTTTTGCATGCATATGAGGTTATTGAAAATACCATGGCTTGGGTCAGCCGCACCTTAGTCTTAAAGCTGACATCTTCACTCTTCAACACTTTATTTTAAGCAGTATTAAATCTCCAAATGCCTACCACAGCACCTGGAGAATACTAGGTCCTCAGTATATATGAGTTTCACTATTAAATGCAAAACTTTTAAGTCATGTTTTAAAGAATATGTTCCAGCAGTAGCACCTGAAATTTAAAAACTGTGAATAGATATTTTGATGAAACAGATATAGGAGATAAAAATGAAAGCATGACTATATAAAATTCAGTCAATGAAGGGAAGTAATACGAATATGTGAGATTACTAATTCAAAAATGAAAGTGAGTACATGAATATTAAAAAGCCCTATTTGGGTAATTATTTCTAAATACTATAAGCTCTGCTTGAAAATTTTTATTCTCTGTATCTAACTTAATTACCAAATAGAATTTAATTTAGAAATATTTTCCTCGGGTTACTTAAAATCCCACAACCAAGATTAACAAAATATATACAAAATAATATAATGGAACAAAAAATAAAAAATCTGATAACATCAATGTTGTTGCTGCTGTTGTTAAGTGCCATCAAGTCTGTACGAACTCACAGCAATCTTATGCACAAAAGAATGAAACATTGACTGGTCTTGCACCAACCTCACAATTGTTGCTACACACTTGAGCCTACTGCTGCTTCCATTGTGCCAATCTATCACATTGGGGGTCTTCCTCTCCTTCAATTTACCAAGCATTTTACCAATCTTCCTTCAGATAATATGCCCAAAGTATGAGAGATGAAGTTTGGCCATCCTGGCTTCTAAGGAGCATTCTGGCTGTACTTCCTCTAACACAGATTTGTTCCATGGCACTTTTTCTTCTTTTTAAGTTTTTATTGTGAATTATATGATAGTTTACATGGAAGAACATTAGCTTTATATTCATCCTATTGTATTTCATTTCATTGCAATGATTACAGTCCCCTACATGCAACATCAAACAACCAAAGGGTACACCACACAAGCCTGCCCACCGGGTGCCAGCACACAGCCCCTCTCCCTCCCTGAGACCAGAGTCCCCAGCTGCTCCATCTCTCCACATCATCATATCTGCCTCCATCTCTGGCATCACTGTTTCTTTGGGTAGGGCCCCGCACTCCACTCCTCTCCCTTGATGGTCCCAGGACCTCCGCTCCTGGACTGCAAAATCAACCACTCCCTTCCTTTTGTTACAAAACACCTACCTTTACATTTGAAACTCTGACAGTCAGTCCTGATAGCAATTATTCACTATTGTATCACAAGACTTTTATCTCCATTTCCTTTCATCAGCTCCATCCAGGCAGATTGGAAACCACTCAGCAGAGATTCTACCTTCCCCTGCACTCTCTGAAATTAGGCTGCCTCTTGAAAGCTTGTAAGCCAGTCGCTTCTTGCCTTTGTAGCACCCCCCTCTTGGGTAGCTCATGTCTAAGTTGCCCATCCCCATCAACCCTGAGTACTGAGGGGGTGGGAATGATCCTCGCTGTAAAGATTTGTTTCCTCTTTTGAGCTACTACCTCCATAAGTATACATAGGTCAAGTTCATAAAATTGTAGCAGATTACTTTTTTTTTCTCTTCTTTCTTCTAGTCAAATTCTGATCATCCAGTCATTGAAGCCAAGGTCAAGTGGGTACTATCTGGAAGTATGGGTGTTCTTGTGTATCTCCTCACTTCATATCACCTGGACACTTTACTCTCCACTCTAGTCCTCTATGGCCATGTCACTGTCTCTGGGGCTAGGAGTCCCCATGACTTGCCATACTGCTGGCCAAAGAGGTTTCAGCCCGGGTTCACAAGAGTCTATTGAATGTGGTTGGACTTAGATCCCAACTTCATTGCTGTTCTTCCCCCACTTCCCCGTATCAGTGACCAACGTGGTCACCTTCCAGGCCACATGCCTGCTAGTGTATTCCCCCTTCAGTCTTAAAGTCTTGGAAAGGGGTTTACCCTGAGGGGACCTGACCACTTGCCTTGATGGCTCCCAGGCTAACGACTTGCTTGTTCTTGTAGTAGTCAATTGGACTACCGTTACTGGTTTTTGTTTTTTTTTTTTTCCTGCCGGTCTTTCTTTCAAGAAATATCTTCTGTTCTTCTAGCTGCTCCAGGCTGGTCTGCTTCACCTTTCAAGTGGAAATTTCCCACCTCAGAAGATTCTGGATGGGGTTCAGGATTCCACCTATGGTTTTATGTAATGCAAAGGCTCTGCAGGAATCCTCCTTCACTGAGTAAGTTCTACCTCCATTTTATGTATTCCAATAAGTTATAGGCTGAAAACAGATTTACAAGCTTTCTATGGTGATGTTGCTGGCTATTCCTTTCTCTCCCCCTTAAGTGTCTAATTTACAATTACAGGCAAGGGAAACCAAGATTGAAAAGACAGCCAAGCATCTTAACATTATTATTTCTCCTCTTTTACTCATTCCAACCATGCCTAAATTCCTATATCCTAGAGCTGTGTTGTCCCAAGGTTATACATACATTATTATTTATCTCTGTTCCACTTGGTCCATGCAAACCAACCTAACTGTTCTCTCATCTGCCTTGTTCTTCCATTCCCCTCCCCCTTCTTGTGAATTGTTCCCCTCCCCCAGCACCCAAGCTATCCTGTGTCTATTCCCTATCCTGTGCTCCACCGTCCCCTCCCTCCCCTCAACCCATCCCATATATCCTGGTAACCAGCAAAGAATTTTTTTTTCCCCTTTTAGTGTGGGTTCTTTTTCTTAGTCTTTTACAATAATGGCCCTATGCAGTATTTCTCCTTTTGTGACTAATTTCACTCAGCATAATGTCCTCAAGGTTCATCCATGTTATGTGGTGGCTTGCAGCGTCCTTGTTATTCTTCAAGGTAGCATAATATTCCATTGTGTGTATGTATGTACCACAGTTTGTTTATCCATTCTTCCATTGATGGGCACTTAGGCTGTCTCCATCTTTATGCTATTGTAAATAGTGCTGCTATGAACATTGGTGTGCATATATCTTCTCATGTTATGGCTCGTATTTCTTGTTGGTAAATACCAAGTAGAGGAATTGCTGGATCATAAGGTATTTCTATTTCCAACCTTCTAAGGAAGCGCAATATTGCTTTCCAGATTGTTTGGACCATTTTGCAATCTCACCAGCAATGCATTCCAATCTCTCCACATCGTCGTCAACATTTATTGTCCTCTACTTTTTTTATCTTTGCTATTATTGCTGGTGTAAAATGGTATATCATTGTTGTTTTGATTTGCATCTCTATAATGGCTAGTGATCGTGAACATTTCTTCATATATTTGTTGGCTGCCCGGATCTCCTCCATGGTGAAGTATCTGTTCATGTCCTGTGCTCATTTTTTAACTGGGTTATTTGTCTTTTTCTTGTAGAGGTATTGTAGTTTCTGATATATTTTAGAAATTAGTCCCTTGTCTGATGTGTCATTGCAAAAAAAAAAATTTCCATTCTGGGCTCCCGTTTTACTCTTTTGGTGAAGTCTTTTGATGCACGTGTTATT